GCAGACAACAAACAATGTTTGATATTCGGGTGCATGCTGATAGCTTTGTTGGCATCATGATTGTTAAGCTGGACTTTGATGTGGATGACACCGGCTCGGTTCATCAACTTGACGTTCTTAAATAAACATGTTTTGTTTGAAGACCTTCCAAATCTCTTCATCTACTTGACTCGGTGTTATCTGGGATGGACATGAAACTTAGCCGTCAGGTCTCTTGACCATATAGCGATAAAAGGATCGTAGAGCATAATTACCATGCTCTGCCATGGCACATTGTTCATATACAACACAGTCTATTTCACAAAGTTCGAATTTAGGGATGCGGTTCCCTACACTAAGAAGGATTCATTTTTTACTCGGTGTATGTATGTAGTAGTAGTAGTAGTAGTAGTAGTAGTAGTAGTAGTAGTAGTAGTAGTAGTAGTAGTAGTAGTAGTAGTAGTAGTAGTAGTAGTAGTAGTCGTAGTAGTAGTAGTAGTAGTAGTAGTAGTAGTAGTGGTAGTGGTAGTGGTAGTGGTAGTGGTAGTAGTAGTAGTAGTAGTAGTAGTAGTAGTAGTAGTAGTAGTAGTAGGAGGAGGAGGAGGAGGAGGAGGAGGAGGAGGAGGAGGAGGAGGAGGAGGAGGAGGAGGAGGAGGAGGAGGAGGAGGAGGAGGACTTGTTGTCGTCGTTGTTGTTGTTGTTGTTGTGTACGTGTGTGGTAGCCTATCCGTTCGAAATGTTTGGAGCCCCGAAGAGCGTGCTCTTCGTCAGGGCCACCGCCTCTCTTGGGTAGCCGGTGAGGCAGTCAGACCCAAATCCTCCCAAAAAAGATGCCGCCGCCAGACCTCTGTAGTGGGGATTCTCTGCAGCCAGTGCTCCAAATCTTGGGGCTCCTCCCTGCACAATGTTCAGATTTGTTGTTGTTGTTGTTGTTGTTGCTGCTGCTGCTGCTGTAGTAGTAGTAGTAGTAGTAGTAGTAGTAGTAGTAGTAGTAGTAGTAGTAGTACCATCACCATCATCATCATCATCATCGTCATCATCATCATCATCATAACGCACGCCACAAGGAAAAATGTCCACAGATAAATATGCAGGAACATATTATTTTCTTACTAGCTGAGTACCTGGCTTTTCTTGGAGTCGACGCCTTGGCGTCACGGTCACAGCTCCTACTGGTCTACGCCGCGGAGGCATTTTACATCTACATTGCTGTCTAGCCTTTCACAGTCACACCTGGCTTCTAGATCTATATTGCTTTAGATAAGGTCTGCCTTGATTAACTCCTCACTTGATCTACATTTCTTCAGTGTATTGCTGTCTAGTCATTTACAATCACAAAATACGGGTTTCGCCTTACACCATCACGAAAAAGCACTAAGAAAATAATAATCCACGAAAGGGCTGCTACACTGTAAAAGAAACACACCAACATCTTCAAAACCCGTCTATGTCAAAACCACAGAGGCAGTGTCTATAGCTTGTTCACTTTCCTCTGACAGCGTTAAAAAAATGTTCTAGCTCATTGACACATTTACCTATGCCCACGAAACTTTGCATGGCACTTCAATAGGCTAGAGACCAAACAAAAATATTTTTTCAGAAAATCTTGACCCAGTAATAAAAAAAAAATTCTCTTTGGGCCCTATATTAAAACAACTCTTTGGATGCGTGCTCAGGATCACGTCTCCACATACTGCAGGTGAGTCACGAAAATTACTCCCTCCGTCTCTTGAATCGTGTTTCTTTGGCGAACATTAAAGAGCGGCAATGAACTTCCGTTGTGCAAGACAGCGACGCAGATTTGTTTCGTTTCTCAGTAGAATAATCACAAAGGCCAAAGAAGGACGGGAACTTTTTGTAAAATATATTTTTCTATTTTCAGGAAATAAAAAATAAAAAATCGGGCTCCGTCATGGGGACTTATCTATCTTTTTGCATGTACTTGCCAACTTGAAACTCTGTAGCTGTCGTAGTTTTATGGGAAAAGTGACACATGTGTTTCCAAGTTGCCAAATTTATAATATAATAGATATTTTGCTAACAACCAAAATCAATTTAAAGAGGTCAAAATGTCAAATCAAGGACGTTATGACATACCTTTCTCTTTATTTAATTTTAAAGTTGAACATTTAGGTTGTGAAAAAAAATAGTGCCCTCGATCTCTCTCTCTCTCTCTCTCTCTCTCTCTCTCTCTTTCTCTCT